TTCTTAACTACCATATATATAATATCTCCTCAAAATCACATACACAAAACTCACAATTCACACTTAATCACATAATGCATATAATAAGCATTTAATACGAGGAAACAATTTGGATTGGCAGAGAAACTTACCTCAAATCCAATGCTCCTAATTCTCTTCCTCTACTCCGGTCTCTAAATAATCACCTTTTTAATTAAGATGATATAATTAGTCACTTATTCTATTTTGAATAATTTATCCAAATTTTTCCTTTTTATAGTTCAGCCTGATTTGATCAACTTTTAACCAAATCTGTCCGGCCCAGCTAATATTTTTAAAGTAACCCAGTTCAGAAAATCCAGCCCAAATATGTTGAACGTATTACAGAGTAAAAATCAGAGTATGCGGAGTTACGTACTCGGTTCGTCGTTACGTTCCCAGCCGGCAAACGCATCGTTTCAGTTTTTGGCAGCGATAGCACGACATCTCATCAGGCGGTGATGGCTGTATCTCAGGCGACTGATGGTGGCGATCAAGCAGAGACCTTCTCCACCGACAACGAGCAACGATAACACCTACGGCGGCGAAGCAGCCCAGCACCGGCGCCTTCTATTTGTATCCCGGCGATCTGCACTCGTTCTCCGGCAGCCTCCCGTCTCCTTTACCGGCGTTGCTGTGGTCTTCTCCGGCGTGAAGAAGTCCGGTGGGTCTGGTTACAGCACTCCGGCGTACTCTTCGGTGGGGAAGGCGGTAAGGGTATTGTCTCTTCTACTTTTTCGAAGGCAGCAACACGTACAAAGGTCTTCCTCCTCCGACGTCTGTGAGTTCCGGCCGTCCGGCGCACAGTTGGGTCTTCTTCCCCGGCGTTTCAGTGCAGCGAAAAGATCTCTATAGGAGTGTGCGACGGGGTCCTCCCTACAGCTCTTCACTTGCCGGCGTGGAGATAGCCAACTCCAGCAGCTCTGCAGTTTGGCGTCAGTTTCCCTGGCTGAACAGCTCTCTCTTCCGGCAACGCAGGCCGAGGTTTTGAAAAGCTTTTGGTCTGGGTATTTTGGTTTTTGGTTGGTTGCTTCCCGCTGATCGATCGTAGTATATGTTACGTCGTTATCTCCAACTTCGTACGGAGTCTACTTCGCGTACGTTGCTTGTTGTCCGGGTGGGAGTTACGTGCGTTAATGGTAAATATAGATCCCTTCTTCACTTTGGAGTGCATCTTCTGCGTGATCAACGGCCTAACGGAGCATTTTTCTACGTAGATTATTGTAACGCACGTTTTAGGAGTATAGTTAATATATATATACTTAGTTTACGTAGTTACGTAGTTACGTAGGTATAGTTTATTTACCTAATAGTAGTACGTATACATAGTATATTAGTATATTACTTAGGTGTAGTTTACCGTGTATATATATATATATATATGTGTATTACACTCAATTTGTACTTTGTATGTTATACAACTTAAAATAATTATATAAAAATTAATTTTATACTAAAACATAACTTCTATTATCGGACCATTTTTATCTGACTAAAAATGTCACAAATTTTAATTTTCTGTCTTGTTCACTTGTTTCATAAAATGTTGTTCCTATTACTGAAATATTTTTATCTGACTACAACGTCATAAATTTTGAAAATTTTATCTGATTAAAATGTCACATCTGTTGAATTTTTGTCTGACTCAATTAATTACAAAAATGTTATTTTTGTAATATTTTATCTGACTAAAAATTATTTTTATTTTTATTTAAATTTTTGAAGTGTCACATTCTACCTTCCTTAAAAGATGTTTCTTAGCCTATACTTCTAATATATATATAATTACGTACGTAAAACTAAATATACTCCTAATACTCCTAAGGGTGCAAAAGAATCAAAATTTAACTCTAACTCTAACACAGCCTAAACCCTCATCTTTCCCTATAAATAGCAAGCCAAACCTACGATTTTATTCATTCAAACCTGCGAAAAATACATACATATATACATACATACATATATATATATATATATATATATATATATATATACACACATATACATACATACATACATACATATATATATATATATTCGACAATTCGTTTTAGCTAGAACCAAGCCCTGAAAACACTCTAGAAACCTTCCCCTTCGTGAGACGAATCCAACGGTGAAAGAATCGTAGAAAACGGTCGTGAAACGAGAGAGATATCGCTCGCCGGAGTTGCAAGTTGTGGAAGCGGGTCTTTATAAAAAGCAGATATTTTGCCGTAGATAGGGGTGGAGGAGCTTCGTCTCGCCGCAAGGATCATTTTGCAACTTGAATCGTCGAAATCCGTTATCTGTAAGTCAAGTTATAGCTCGCCGGAGTTTTCTAGTTTCCGGCGAAGTCGCCGGAATCGACCTGGAGAAGATGACCCAGTTGTCTGGGTCAAAACTCTTGGGCCGGGTCGGTTTAATGGGCCAGTTCGGCCCAGTTTTAATAACAATTAAAAATAAAAATAGTAAATCAAATAAATAAAATCTGGAAAAATATAAATTAAATACCTAGTATAAATATACATATTCGGACCAACCAGAATTGAAAACTAATATTTTTAGCTATTTTTAATTGATTTAATTATAATTGGGCCAATTTATACACATTTAGTAAATAATTAGCTAAATAACGAAAATAATTATGAAATAAATATTGGAGTAAACTAGGATAAATATATGACTAACTAGGACCTTATGGACCATTTATAATTAATAAAAATTAAGATTTAGTATATTTAATTGTAATTGAACCGGTTAATAGATATATGAAATTAAATGAATAATTATGGAAAATAATTATAAAATAGATATATGGACAACCTAGGTCAAATATAGACCCAAATTATAGTTATAGACGGTTATTAATTTATAAAGTAGATTCTTAATCTATTTAATTTAATTGGGCCATATAAAACTAGTTAAGTAATTAAATAAGGAAATAATAATATTAATGGTAAAATAAATAAATCACTGAGTTTGAAAATAATATTCTGGACTAAAAATGATGTTGGAATAAAATAAGGAAAATTAAATAAGGTTGGGTTAGCTAGCATAAGTAATTGATTATATATAGACTTAATAAATAACTTAATTATGTAATTAGTGGACTAATTCAATTAATAATTTTTATGATTTATTATTAGAGATTCGGACTTCATATAAATATTTAAAATATTTGAACTCATAAATTAATGGGTTAAGTAAAGTAATAAAATAATATTTTATGAGTAAAGTAAATTAATGGTGATTATTAAATTAAAAAATGGATGTTGTAGTTAATTATAGTCGGATATTTTATTTAGGTTTAGAATTCAAATATTGTAATTAATGACGAAATTAATAAGGTATTTGATTAATAAAAAGTGATTAACTCGAATAATTAATTAATTAAATTAATAAATTCGAATAAAAGAATAAAAAGGAGAAAATCGGCTAAAATTATTGAATTAATGACTAATTATATCATCTTAATTAAAAAGGTGATTATCTAGAGACCGGATTAGAGGAAGATAACTAGGAGCATCAGGACTTAAGGTAAGTTTCTCTGCCAATCCAAAATTGTCTCCTCGTATTATATGCTTATTATGCATTATGTGATTAAGTGTGAATTTTAAATGTGTACTGTTTTGGGCGACTAAGAATTTGTGAAATATTGGAGATATATTTTGGGATTTAATCCCTAGTATGACTTTGGAGTGAATTTTTATGTAAAAGAATTTTGGAGTATTTATGAATGTGAATTTTTGGTGGACGTATCTGATGGGGTTATGGGACTAGGCCCAGAGCCTAATCGGCCCAGGCCCCGAACTTGGACCAACGGGCCCAAGCCCAGCAACCCAGAGCTCGAGTCAGCCCTGTCGCCTGGCCACCCTGCCTTTCGGCCGCCTGACCGCCCAGACGCCCAACCGCCTTGCCGCTTTGCCGCACTGCCGCCTGGCTGCCTAGCCACCCTGTCGCCCGGCCGCCTGGCCGCCTGGCCGCCCTGCTGCCCAGCCGCCTAGCCGCCTGCCACCACAACCTTAGCCTTGTCAGAATTGTAAAAGAGCTCTCTGCAAACAATGACAAACCATCATAAAAAAATCAAGAGAGGTAAAGTGGAAGCCTATTGATGTTCATCTCGGAGACAACCGCCCTGAGAGCCGCCGACCCATCAGCAACGTTGCTTACCTACGAAGCTGTCTGACCGACCTGGGTTCTGAGACATCGGGTGGCCTAGGAGTTGAGCACTGACCACCGACTGCTTTGGCTTCGCCGCTGACCCGCGAAGAGCTGTTCGACGTGGAGAAAAACAAGATGATGATATGGGATTAATCAAGCCTGACCCGGTAGCTACACCGTCAGCTTGGGAGCCGCACCACCGACCGGGAAGGCAGCTCGCCGGTTGCCTGGAGGTGTCATTTGGAGGAATTTGTCCGTGACCTGAGAAATGCCATGTGAACTTCCTTACTATTTGAACGACTCAGGTCCATTCCGCCGGCCTGGGAGACACATCAACAACCTTGAGGCAGTTCAACCAGCCGGAAGCCGCCAACTCCCTGGACGACGTTGGACAGCTGATTTGGCGTCGGTCAACTGGGTTGACTGCGGCGCTGCGCTGGGGAGACACGAGGAAGCAGACGCGCAGGGTCCAGGAGAGAGAGGAAAAAGAAAAGAAAGGAAAGAAAAAGAAAAGGAAAGAAAAGAAAAGAAAGGAAGAAAAGAAAAGAAAGGAAAAGAAAAAAAAGGAAAGAAAAGAAAAGGAAAGAAAAGAAAAGGAAAGGAATTTTCGGGAGCTGACCTGGATTCTGATGTCCGGAAGAAAATTGACGGCTGGAGTGCTAGGATGCTGAAGAAATTTATTTGGAGCCTTTTTGGGGAGCCTGATTTAATTTGGGAATTTCCATAAACTCCGGGATTCACATAATACGCAATTATGGTTCCTTGATATGTGAATATTTTTAAATCGGCAGCTGACTTAAACTACTCCCACTTAGCCGAGTCTACTACTCGACTAAGGGAGTGGGGGACTCGTGATGGGGTTATGGGACTAGGCCCAGAGCCTAATCGGCCCAGGCCCCGAACTTGGACCAGCGGGCCCAAGCCCAGCAACCCAGAGCTCGAGTCAGCCCAACCAACCAGGGCAATCAAGGAGCGGAAGCCCAACTGGGAGCCTGCGGTCCAGCCTACCCGGAAGCATTCCTTCCAGCCTACCCGGGAGCCTGCGGTCCAGCCCAACTGGGAGCCTGCGGTCCAGCCTACCCGGGAGCCTGCCTTCCAGCCCAGTGGGGAGCCTACCTTCCAGCCTAGCCAGGAGCCTGCCGACCACCAGCCCAGCTGGGAGCCTGCGGTCCAGCCCAGGTGGGAGCCTGCCTCCAGCCCAACGGGGAGCCTGCCTTCCAGCATACTCGGGAGCCGGCCTTCCAGCCTAGCCAGGAGCCTGCCGACCACCAGCCCAGCTGGAAGCCTGCGGTCCAGCCCAGCTGGGAGCCTGCGGTCCAGCCCAGCTGGGAGCCTGCGGTCCAGCCCAGGTGGGAGCCTGCCTCCAGCCCAACGGGGAGCCTGCCTTCCAGCATACTCGGGAGCCTGCCTTCCAGCCTAGCCAGGAGCCTGCCGACCACCAGTCCCGCGGGGAGCCTGCGATCCAGCCCAACTGGGAGCCTGTGGTCCAACCCAGGTGGGAGCCTGCCTCCAGCCCAACGGGGAGCCTGCCTTCCAGCATACTCGGGAGCCGGCCTTCCAGCCTAGCCAGGAGCCTGCCGACCACCAGCCCAGCTGGGAGCCTGCGGTCCAGCCCAGCTGAGAGCCTGCGGTCTAGCCCAGGTGGGAGCCTGCCTCCAGCCCAACGGGGAGCCTGCCTTCCAGCATACTCGGGAGCCTGCCTTCCAGCCTAGCCAGGAGCCTGCCGACCACCAGCCCCGCGGGGAGCCTGCGATCCAGCCCAACTGGGAGCCTGCGGTCCAGCCCAGGTGGGAGCCTGCCTCCAGCCCAACGGGGAGCCTGCCTTCCAGCCTACCCGGGAGCCTGCCTTCCAGCCTACCCGGGAGCCTGCCTCCAGCCCGGTCAGAAGCCTTCCTCCAGCCTAGCGGGAAGCCCACCGTCCAGTCCAGCAGGGGGGGAGCTCAAGCGTCCAGCCTGCCAGCCAGGCTGACCTGCCAGCCAAGAAGAGTAACGGCCAACAATCAATGCGCGACTTAATTATGTGTTTAATTCTGTATTAATGTTGTAATTAATTTAGTCATTATTATGTTCGGCAGTTACCATTTGTAATCGCCTATAAAAGGCAATTCGAATTTCAAATACAGATATGCTTTTTCTGGCTAACTTTCCATATTCGTACTTTCCTAATTCCTGCTTGAGTGTCGTACGTAGCTTTCGTAAAAGCCTACGAGCGTCCTATTTTGGACCAACAGTATCTATTAAATAGATATTCTGTAGGACTATATATAGAAAGATGATTTTTCAAGGAATAATGTTTTTCAATAATTATTGACATCTCGAGAGAAACACGAGGTGTGGGTGGTTAGAGCTATATATTGCGGGTTTAGTTTAGGTTTATGATGATTATTGGTGGCGGGAGAAATCCCGGTAAATATTGGTGGCGGGAGATTCCCGGTATTTCTTTTGAGAACTTTAAAAGTTCTTTGGTGGCCGCGGTAGTAGTTTCTAATTACCCGGGTTTCTAACCCATTGTGAGGTAGGGGGACGTTGTCCGAACTACTTGGACTTCTTACTACTCGGAAGGCTTGGAATCCCTTTTAGGGGGTGTGCACACTTAAGGGTGAAGTTCAGTTTCCAATTGGTGGTCTGTGGGAGCCAGAATTCCGGGATGAGTCGTACACAACAACGATTCATTGGGCTCGAGGAATCTTGAGTTTCGTCCATCTTAAAAAAATCTGAAAGTGACATTGATTTCGGAATGGTGATATTTTTAGCTACAAAAGTTATTTTTGAAAAGTGATACTTCTTTTGAGATATTAATTAATTGTTGGGAGCTTATAAATATTATTTTTAATTATACGGGTATTTGAGATTATAAAGTTGATAAATGATGTTTTTGATTAGAAAAGAATTTCGGTGGTGTGAGTATTTTTATATAGTATTATATGAAAAATCTATTTTCGCCAAACCTGATTATTTTACGGGGTTGGGTAGTACTTACTTAGCTCTAAAGCTAATTTTTGTTTCCTTTTCTTTGTTTTGTTTTCTGCACTTTATTTGTGCAGGTAATGATGAATACGAAGCTCATGATGTTTGATGAACCTGGAGAGCGCTTTAGAAGAATTTAGTGTAGTCTTCACTTAGATTAAATAATGCTAGTAGATTTTGAATTCAAGTTTTTAATTCGATTGAACTCATGGTGGATAGCCTTAACATCCAGCCAAGTTGATGGCTGGGTGTGGCGGTAACACACCCTTTTTCCATTACTGTTATTTCCGCTGCAAAACTCTATCTATTTTTAAGGAATAAATCAAGATTGTTATCAATATATTATTATTTCAAGTATTATTTTGGGCGGGAAAAATGGGGGTGTTACAAATTGGTATCAGAGCCATAGGTTATTTTTCTGGGGATATTTCAAAACGTTTTTCGAAAAAGATTTCTAAACCTTTTTTGAAAATATTTCTATAAAAAAAACTAGGAAATTAAAATTATTAGGAAAAGACCTGATAGGAACGCGGTGAGGATATAATGTGAGATTTTCAAGTTATTGATTTATATGATTGAGTAGTGAAATTTATGTAGTTGCTTGCTCGTGTGAAATATATGAATTTTGATGACATCTTTGAATGTCTATATGTGTTAGAGCTTAGTATGGACCTAGTGAAGAACTTTGCGGTTCAAATAGTGTAGGGACTTTTTGAATGCCTTATTATTTAAGAGACTTGTGAGAAAAGAAGTTAAGCGGTTAAGATGGTGAAGGTGTTGTGGTCTAACCATTTGGCCGAAAATGCTACATGGGAGACTGAAGAGGATATGCGCAAACGGTATCCAGAGTTATTTGACTAAGGTAAAATATTAGTTACGAGGACGTAACCTCTCTTTAAGGGGGGTAGAATGTAATACTTAAGAATTTGAGTACTTAGATTAAGTTAATGCTTCGGGACGAAAAATCTTTTAAGGAGGGTAGAATGTGACACTTCAAAAATTTAAATAAAAATAATTTTTAGTCAGATAAAATATTACAAAAATAACATTTTTGTAATTAATTGAGTCAGACAAAAATTCAACAGATGTGACATTTTAATCAGATAAAATTTTCAAAATTTATGACGTTTTAGTCAGATAAAAATATTTCAGTAATAGGAACAACATTTTATGAAACAAGTGAACGAGACAGAAAATTAACATTTGTGACATTTTTAGTCAGATAAAAATGGTCCGATAATAGAAGTTATGTTTTAGTATAAAATTAATTTTTATATAATTATTTTAAGTTGTATAACATACAAAGTACAAATTGAGTGTAATACATATATATATATATATATATATATATATATATATATATATATATATACACGGTAAACTACACCTAAGTAATATACTAATATACTATGTATACGTACTACTATTAGGTAAATAAACTATACCTACGTAACTACGTAACTACGTAAACTAAGTATATATATATATATATATATATATATATATATATATATATATATATATATATATATATATATATATATATATATATATATATATATATATATATATATTAACTATACTCCTAAAACGTGCGTTACAATAATCTACGTAGAAAAATGCTCCGTTAGGCCATTGATCACGCAGAAGATGCACTCCAAAGTGAAGAAGGGTTCTATATTTACCATTAACGCACGTAACTCCCGCCCGGTCAACAAGCAACGTACGCGAAGTAGACTCCGTACGAAGTTGGAGATAACGACGTAACATATACTATGGCTTATATATACTATATATATATATACTACGATCGATCAGCGGGAAGCAACCAAACAAAAACCAAAATACCCAGACCAAAAGCTTTTCAAAACCTCGGCCTGCGTTGCCGGAAGAGAGAGCTGTTCAGCCAAGGAAACTGACGCCAAACTGCAGAGCTGCCGGAGTTGGCTATCTCCACGCCGGAAAGTGAAGAGCTGTAGGGAGGACCCCGTCGCACACTCCTATAGAGATCTTTTCGCTGCACTGAAACGCCGGGGAAGAAGACCCAACTGTGCGCCGGACGGCCGAAACTCACAGATGTCGGAGGAGGAAGACCTTTGTACGTGTTGCTGCCTTCGAAAAAGTAGAAGAGACAATACCCTTACCGCCTTCCCCACCGAAGAGTACGCCGGAGTGCTGTAACCAGACCCACCGGACTTCTTCACGCCGGAGAAGACCACAGCAACGCCGATAAAGGAGACGGGAGGCTGCCGGAGAACGAGTGCAGATCGCCGGGATACAAATAGAAGGCGCCAGTGCTGGGCTGCTTCGCCGCCGTAGGTGTTATCGTTGCTCGTTGTCGGTGGAGAAGGTCTCTGCTTGATCGCCACCGTCAGTCGCCTGAGATACAACCATCACCGCCTGATGAGATGTCGTGCTATCGCTGCCAAAAACTGAAACGATGCATTTGCCGGCTGGGAACGTAACGACGAACCGAGTACGTAACTCCGCATACTCTGATTTTTACTCTGTAATACGTTCAACATATTTGGGCTGGATTTTCTGAATTGGGTTACTTTAAAAATATTAGCTGGGCTGGACAGATTTGGTTAAAAGTTGATCAAATCAGGCTGAACTATAAAAAGGAAAAATTTGGATAAATTATTAAAAATAGAATAAGTGACTAATTATATCATCTTAATTAAAAAGGTGATTATTTAGAGACCGGAGTAGAGGAAGAGAATTAGGAGCATTGGATTTGAGGTAAGTTTCTCTGCCAATCCAAATTGTTTCCTCGTATTATATGCTTATTATATGCATTATGTGATTAAGTGTGAATTGTGAATTTTGTGTATGTGATTTTGAGGAGATATTATATATATGGTAGTTAAGAAGCATAAATCAAGAACTTTTGGGGTATTAAATATTTTTAAATACCTTCGAGACTTTTTAGAGAAATTAAGAAGTATTATTAAGCGAAGATAAAATTTACATTTTTATAAGAAGTGAGCATCTCGGGAGTAATCCGAGGTGTCGGTTTTTCCACATCCGGATAAATGTGGAGGGTGATTAGAGCTACTACTACTGAGAAGTACAATTTAAGTTTCAAGTAAGATTTGGATCTATGATCCCTTTTAAGTAAGATTTGGATCTATGATCCCTTTTAAGTAAGATTTGGATCTATGATCCCTTTTAAGAAGAAGTTATAGTAGTAGTTCCTAATCATTCAAGAATTTCAGAATTGGGGTGGTTGGGTTCCGACCACTCGGGATGACTTACTACTCGGAGGGCTTGGAATCCCTTTTAGGGGGTGTGCACACTTAAAGTAGTTGTTTCGTTTCCAACAGAGCAGTTGTGGTACCGAAACTTGTTCGGGGTGGCCGCCCGTAACCACGGTCCACCGGGCTCAGTCGAAAGGTTGAGCACCGCCCTTCTAAATTACTAGGAAGTTAGAGAAGAAGTGATATTCTTAAGAAGTTTAAAGAGAAGAATTACTAAGAGATTTTCCAAGAGAAGTTTAAGATTTTAGCAAAGAAGTGATTTTAAGAAAAATCAAAGAGAAAAGTATTTTGGTGGAGTGCGTCATTTTTATATGATATTATATAAAAATCTATTTTTAGTCAAACCTGATTATTTTACGGGGTTGGGTAGTACTTACTTAGCTCTAAAGCTAATTTTTGTTATTTTTCTTGTCTCTCTCTTCTCCCTTAAATTTTATCAGGTGATGAGTTGGATACCTATGTGGATTGATGGATTGCTCGAGCTTGAGTGCGAATTAGAAGATGCCTTAGTTAAATCTAGTCATGAAATAAACATTTACTTATCATTACATTAGTTTTTGTTATTTTACTTTGAGTTGCATGTGCATTCGGTTAAGAGATGACCGAATGTGGCGGTAACACCCATTTCCCTATTTTAGACTTCCGCTGTATTTCTTCAACTCTTTGATGAATGAATAAAGTATTTCTTTTAATTATATCAATGTTTTGGGCGGGAAATTTAGGGGTGTTACATTGAGTATCCCCGGGAT